AGCCCAAATTCCAAAATATGTGTCCTTTTGTAAATTCTTCAGTAAGGTTACTTATATTTCCTATTCCAGTTTAAGCATTTGGTCAGGGATATCCACATGACAGTATAATTGGAAAAAGAAATGAGTGTTTGCTTTTGGTTTCATTTTATTGCTTCTTGGAAGAAAGCTCCATATAATAATTTTCTGGTCCAGTTCTCTACTCTCCAACTATGGGGTGGGAGGGGTGCAGGAGCTGGGGGAGGAGCAGAGAGAAGGCTGTGCTGCATCCACGTCATTTTCTTATTTTACTACATGTGGGGGGAGTCTCTGAAATGAGACTTTAATTCTCTTGTTGAAATACCTGCATTTTATTAAAAAAATTATCAAAACCTGGTCAGAGAGGATGAGAAAAATTTTCCCTGAAAGCTTCTGTAGAGATGCAACAACAACCCCAGATTCGTTCAAATTGAAATTTGGGGAAAAAAGGGGGCTTTCGGAGAATGAACAGTGCTGCTTTCCTGCCCTCTAAAGGGGCTGATGGGAAAGGAGGCCATGTTTAGTATTGAGCTAGCTGATTAAATACCTAGATCTAGGAGGAGCCCTAGGGCTTCTACCAGCATATACTTCTGGCAGCCCAAATTTCATGCCTTTGCCTTTCTGTGAGGCTCTTCTAGTTCCCGTTCTTTTGATGTCACTAAAGGTCCTCTAATCCATGAGTGGGCAGTGCATGAAACCTAACTCTTTGTCTGATCTGTGCCCTGGCCTAGGGTACTGTTGGAAGAAAGCTGCTTAAGATAATGACTTAAAGCAGGGAAAGATATCTGGATTTAGCCACTCCCCCTACCCTTCTTATGTTACATAGATAATGGAAAACGTATCCTGGAGCTGGAAATTGAGGTACTGCCCTTATGCCTTCTTTGCCTGGCCAAAGTCTACTGATGTCTTAGACTCAGGTCAAGTGATGGCTCCTGGAAGCCACTCTCTCCATACCCCATCTATAAGTCTATACTTAGACTAGATTAAGGGCCATTTTGTATTTTTCCATGGGTTTTCCATAAGATCCCCTACTGCAGTGTTGTTCTACATTGAGTTGCAAAGTTATCACAGCCTTCCCAAATCTGAGACCCTCCCCATCCATTTCTCTCTCACCAAGCGTGCTTTACTGGACTCATAGGTAACATACCTAATTGCACCTTAAGGTAGGGATTATGATGTAACATCATAATACATTGTAAGTCAGACACTCTTGGTTTGGTGCCTAGTCTTGCTATAATCTAAGTCAAGCTTACCAACTTTTCTTGGTGTTCATTTTCAAATCTATAAAAATTAAGATAATCATATTCTGTTTACCATACAGGCTCGACATGAAGATTAAAGGATATACTGTAGGTAGAATGCTTTGCCAAACATTAAGTGTAGCAATGAGGAGAGAACACCTATTTTATCATCTTTTAGATTTTTGCATCACTGTGAGCCATGCAACCCCACCATACCCCTATAAGGTGGATATCTATTATTTTTCAGAGGAGGACACATCTGAGTTATAGTTTTATGAACCTCCCTAAGGTTACATGGATAACAGCAGTGAAGCTTAGATCAGAACCCAAGGCCTCTGAGAGTGGAGCTCACACTCCTAGCCACTGACCTCAGAAGTTTCCTAACATTCTGTCTGCTAAGATCCAGCAATTTAGTGGGACCTGTTTCCAGCCTCTGTGCTCTCAGTTCTATGATGTAACAACAGCAATTTACCTGATGTACTTCTAAGGAAAGTTTAACCTGATCCTGACTTTCTGTCTTGCTTAATTGTCAGTGCTCAGACAGTGATTCCAGAGGATGCCTCTTTAGAGGGGCCAAGAGTTGGAGCTGAAAGTCAGAAAGCTATTTCCATAAAGTCTCTGACATTAGGGAGAGATGATATCCTTTAGTTTGTGAGCACTAGAATTGTGGTCAGGTAACCTGAAGTCAAATCCCAGCTCTGCCAGTAAAGTAACAGCCCTTGGAAAGCAGCTTGGCTTCTTAAAACCTTCATTTGCTTAGATTGTTTTTTTTTTCTTATCTCTAAATTTGCTACAAAATCCTCTTCTTTTGACATCTTGGAAGACTTAAATGAGTCAAATGCATGTGAGAGCACTTTGCAAGTTACATGGAAGCAGAGGTAATCATTACTTTTTCAAGAACGCAAAGTCCTCGTCCAGCAAACCATTTAATATGTATGTACACACAAAAAGTCAACAGAGATAATTTCTGAAGTCTTATGAGTAACCAAAGGTCCAGATCACTGCAGGAGGCTGGAAAAGATTCATTAAAATGATCATTCAAGCCTGAACGTGTAGACAGAGCAGGGACATTGAAGAATGACATCATTCCATTTAATGGAAAGTACAGAGCCTCTTCCCGGAGGCTTCCCAGCAATAGAAGTAGGACCTCCTGAGAGGGGCAGGGTGCATTCAATTCATACAATGAACACCCTTACTTAAAATCTACCCAAGTTTCAAAATATAACCATCGGAGCCTGTTTGAATACAGAGAGTTATTTTAAGTGTGTGATTCATTCCACACAGCCCTATCTCTGGGAATCTGGTAGTGAATTTGGATCAATGATTTTAGTAACAGTTCCACTAAATCATCACCCTTCTATCCCAGGTATGTAACTCAGAAAAAAGCAACAGAAAGGTACCATCAATAGGAAAATGGGATGGACTTTAAATATAGCATAAAGAGGCTGTTTGGAAGATCGGCCTGTAATTCTGTGTGTGGAAGCGAGGGAGAGTCAGAGGGTAAAGAGAGCAGTGATGTTTAGGTCTATGGATGGTGAGAAAAAGAGGCCATATTCTGAGCACAAGTTCAGAATGACAGAAGGACAGCATAAAATGAAAATGGTTTTTTAAGTGACATTACAAAGGAAAGGTGACACTAAGCAGCGCCATGTTTGTGGACTTCTGATTAACCACAGGATTAAAAGCTGAAGAATTTAGATCTAAGCAGCCTCCTGTTAGGGATAGAAAAAATTCACCAAGCTTAAGAAAAGTAGCAGCAGAAAGGCATGTGCTATTTTTAGTGTTTTGATAAATAGTTTGGAGCTTCTTGAAAGGGAGTGAGATTGTCAAGGGAGCTAAATGAACAGGAGCCCGGGGACTGGTCATTTTCTTAAGAGCCAGGAACACATAGGAAGGTTTGAGCAACATGAAAAGGCATGTGTGCTTCTGACAATGGTACTTTGTTCTCCATTTAATAGACAGGAAAACGCACACCTCACAGATCTGAAGTCTTGGATGAACCGTTCCTGCATCTGTCCACTGTTTTGGAAAGCAGTAATAAACTCACTTCTTAGATACAGATGGATAAACCGAACTGGTTAGCACAGAACTTACAGAGCTAGTGGTGGCCCATGAGGTGACCGCATCAGGCCAAACCTATCTTTTGAGGTCTGGGGGCTCTGGCATGTTTTTCATATATTTCTCCTTATCTTATAATTGCAGGGCATCTCAAGTGACATTTCCCACATAAGTGCTGTATGTTTAATGCTTTTTGGCACATCCTAGCTCTGACCTCCTCAGATGTAGCTTCTTGTAAGAGAAGGCACTTGAGGTGAATTGTAAATTACGTGCCTTTGAAGATGGAAACTAGCCCTGAGTTGTTTCTCACATAGTGAGGCAGAAGATACTGGGTTTGAGAGGAAAGAGCTGTATGTAGGCTCAGTGGATGGATTATAAGGAAAGAAGGGTGCAGGGGCGAAGGTTGGCAGGAGGTCACGATTCGGGCAGGCTGACTGGATACTACTGCTTGGTACTCAATGTGCATCAGCATACATGTAATGAACCCTGACCTAAATTTTAAACCGGTATGGTTTCTCAAATAAGTCCACCAAAGAGCTAAAAAAAGAGGTGACTCTTATCTAGGAAACTCCATTTTTAGGTCTGCTTAACCGAGGTTCTGAATAAAGTCTCCAAACCCCTCTGCACCTTGGTGGCCTCTATTTGCACGTGGAGGTGCCTTCAGGAGCACAGGTGAGGGATCTCATTCTATAGGACTGAGAAGATAGCAGGAGAGCCAACCACAGCATGGCCTACTAGCAAGCCCTCTGACAGCCTCACCCAACAGCCAGCTAGCAGAGCCTTTTCCACCTCTTCCAAGCTTCCTCTCGAGAAGAAAGTTAAAACTACTGGGCACCAACAAATCCTTTCATGGAGACAGCTATCAGAATCTGTTTAAGCCATCTGTTTCTCTGGCTGTTTTTCCTTTCAGTGTTTTTCCTTCATGTGTTCTTTGCTCACAACAGAAAATCTAGTCTAAAATAACCAAGATGTTAAGTTGGAAAATGCCAGAGGTATACATCCAGTTTATGAGAGAAATTGCTTTCTAAAGAGGAGCTGGGCTGATCTTGTGTGGAGGAAAGCAACGTTTCCACAAATATTATACTTGCGCTAAGAAAATAACCAACTACTTTCATTAAAAGACTCCGCAACAAGATTTGTATTTGTTCATGTAATTGAATTTAATGCTACTGAAATTTGTCAGACCTGAAAACTACTGTGGCGTAGATGGTACTTTCACATTGAGGAAGATTACCTGAGAAATCCGCTCTCAGCCTAGAGCAGCAGGTCTTGTGCTGACCTGAAAAGGTGATAGGTCAGTCATTTTCAGCATTTGCATAATGCCTAGCCCCAAAGGACACCTCCTGGGATGATTTGTTTTGTTTTGTTTTGTTCTGAGAAGAAGACTCTGTGAAGCAGTCATTATTGATGGAGGGGCCCTGCTAATGCCTTGCCTACCAATTTAGTGTCTGCAGACCAGAGGTCAGTCACCTAGATTAGTTACCCAAAATTGCAGAGCCAGCTCTGTATGTTTTCATGCTAGCCAATAGTTTTGCAACTGGTTTTTCCCCTCTATGTAGCCAAGTAACTCACAGATTTTAGCTGCACACTTTCACACCAAGTTATCTTAAAAACCTCAGAATTTCTGCAGAAGCTCCATTCCATATTCAAAATGTCATCAATATGTCATGCTTCTCTGTTTCTCACCTGGGTTCACCTTGGTTGATGGACATGTAGATCTCCCAAGAATTCTCTTCTGGGATGGCGCCATGTGGTATGAGTAAACTCACCCCTAAAGCAGAAAAAGTCAAGAGGTTATTTCAAAGATCTCTAAGCCTCAGTCGAGCACCTTATAGATGTGTGCTCTCTCTCTCTCTCTCTCTCTCTCTCTCCACACACACACACACACACACACACACAATCTCACAGCAATTTATGAAATCCTGATATTTGAAAAGTTTAAAAAGTCCAAGATAATAATAGAGAAAACATTGTTTCCCAACAGTGACATAAAGAGGAGCATGTTATTTGACTGTGTACTCAAGGTTTTTAATTTAAGGTCTTCCTGGCATTTTTTAATTCTCTTAAAAGACTGGGTGTCCTGAGACCAGGCACTATCGAACGTATCTGAGAATATAAGAGTTTATCGGTGTATCTGTTAATCTGCTGCAAAATTTAGGAATGTATTGCAGTATCTTGTCTCTCTCCAGTCATTTCCTGAAAAGGTATCGAGATGGTGGGTGAGCCCTCTAATGCTTTCCTCAGGCCTGGTATGAAATTGTCTTATAAATTATACACCTCAAAGTAAGTTTAAAGAGGTGATCAATAGAGTACTGTATTTTGTCAAGAAAACAGGAGGGGAAAAAAAACGCATGGATAAGTTTAGGGACATTGTAGGTTGTTGTATAGCTGGTATTTCGTCCTCTATTTGCAAACTGAAGCTAAAAAAGATGAAAGTTAAAGGCAACGTAACCATATTTATGGTGGTGTCAAATAAGAAAAAAATCCGCAGCCTAACTTCAGCAAAATCCTACAGTGCGAGGGGGGAAGGCTCAGGAAGGCACATCACACTGCGTCTGCAATGTCCTTTCTCTCCTCTTGTCTACTGCGAAGTAAATATTTCACTTTGGCCAAGAAAGAGGAATCTAGACAGGGCAGAGATGCTCTTTAATGTAGCTTCTTGTTTATAAAAAGAAATGAAATAGAGACACAGTAAGATCTTTGCAAAATAAAATCTCAGAACATCCTCCTATTGTCTGAATAATGTAGTTCCCACCTTTCCCCCTTTCATTAGAGCTAATGTAATTGCACAGAAAGCTTTCAGGTTGCTGATGGTAATTTACATCTAGAGATGGCAGGCTTTACTGATATCCTTCTATGTGCCTGTTAGCTGCTATAGAATCAAGGAATGCAAGACTCATTGCAAAACAAGTAATTTGTGATGCACATTTATGAGCATTATTCAGTAACATGCTAGTTATCATCAGTATCGTTCGCCAGCACTAAGAATGAGGCACATTTAAATCTTGCTTACAGCTTTTCAGCAAGAGTATCCATTTATATTCTGGACTTTAATGTCAATGGAACTGTAATTGCCATACTTAGGGGCCTCTGATCAGGCTCCTCCTTTCATTTCCTGTTCTTTTTTAAATGTAGTTGCCAAATGAAGTGGACTTCAGTACATCCTTCCCTGCTGTTGAGCAGAAGTTGTAATACACAGGATAATCTGTGTGTGGATGTCAAGCTGAATGTACACCCTAGATATTATGTATTCTCTCTTAGTTTGACACAGTGGTTTTCCTCTGTTGCCTCCCTTTTATTTTTTTTAATTTTTTTTATTTATTTTATGATAGTCACAGAGAGAGAGAGAGAGAGAGAGAGAGAGAGAGAGAGAGAGGCAGAGACACAGGCAGAGGGAGAAGCAGGCTCCATGCACCGGGAGCCCGACGTGGGATTCGATCCGGGGTCTCCAGAATCGCGCCCTGGGCCAAAGGCAGGCGCCAAACCGCTGCGCCAACCAGGGATCCCATGTTGCCTCCCTTTTAGACGACCTAGGCCCTTGTGACAGTAGAGACATTCCGTCCTTACCCCTTAATTTTTAAAAATTTGACAGAGAGAGAGAGCACAAGCAAGGAGAGCAGCAGACAGAAGGAGAGGGAGAAGCAGACTCCCTGCTGAACAGGGAGCCTGATGTGGGGCTCGATTCCAGGACCCTGGGAGCATGACCTGAGCCTGCTTAAGTGACTGAGTCACCGAGGCACCCCATGTTCTTATTCATTGGCTTGGATATAGAAGCAAAGGAGGCAACATCAAGCAAGGATGCCATCTTTAGCAGTTACCCCCAAATAATAACTTCGTTGTGTTCCCATTTTTCTTTTCCCATTCTTTTCTTTTTTTAAGGTGCAATTCACATGCAAGAAATTGTACCCATTTTAAGAGTACAAATTGATGTATTTCTGACATGCATACTCTCATGTAATGACCACCCAAGATATAGAACACTGCCATTTCCACAGAGTTGCCTTGTGCCCTTTAGAGTCAATTTTTTAATTTCCAATGCAAATGGTCACATTTTGCTTTCTGACGTGTTGGTTAGCTTGCCTTTTGCAAACTTTCAAATAAATCATACAGTGCATGTAAGATAAAAAAGTAATGATGGCTCATTACATCAATAACATGTTGTACAACGCTTGGCACAGAGTAGGCACTCAAAAAACATCCTGAATGGATGAAGTAATAGGATTCAAAACTTTTTTTTTTTTTTTAAAAGCCAGGTTCTGAGACATGGTCTCTTCTCTAGATCATCAGTGCCTGATGGTCAACTCCCATATCAAATCAGAATAAATATATGTGTAGACTTTTGAGATAGGGCTGTTTGTAAAACAGATCATATCTCATTCCTTTCAAGTCAGCTTAATTCCCTATGTTCAGATTGAAACATTATTCATAATACTCCTAAATACGACCTGAATCTACAGGATCATTAGAGCTTTAAACGATTTCATGTTTCCTTCAATCAGAAATTTTATGATTATCTTTCTAACACACTTCCCTCCTCCCACTTTAAACATGCAAATTGTAAATGGAGATGGGACATAGTCAAACACAGAGGCAGGGTCAAGATGGGTGGTAGTGTGGGTGGCAAGCAGTATCTTATGAAGAATGAAAGGTGTAGTGGGGAATCCTTATGCCTGTGGGCCCCTAAAGAAGTGTCCATTTTCAATATGTCACTCACCAGTTACTTCTGATTAAAGAAACATACTCTCCCCCAAACTCCACCTGCTATCCTGACAGCCTTTTATTTGATATGACAACAGAACCACCTGTCTGAATTTCTTGCTTCATATTTTGCATAATAAATGATTTCTACAGAGTGGGGGCCATCCCATCCCTTTTGAAAAAATCATTGCCAGGCACCATACAATAATCTGGGAGGATGGCATTAGAACAATTTAATTGCTGTGCCTTGCTTCTTTACACTTATCCCCCCTAGGGCATATTTTGCATTTATGTTCTGCAAATAACATAGCATATGTTTCAATTCCCCACACTTATTTTTCCTCAAACTCATTCCCAGTGAACAGCTTCAATCTTGTCCAGGGCTTCTTATTAGAAGCTTTGAAAATGCCCTTTTACAGAGGAAGTGTTTGGGAATCAGGCAATGCCATCAGAACTTTTAGATTTCAACACAAGTGCTTCTTAAGTCAGAAGGGAAGAAAAAGAAAAATCTGTTTCATGATTTCATCTCACGTTCTTTGATGAACGTTAAACAAGCAAGGCCAATGAATGGGTTGATCTTGGCATGCCTTCCACATGTGTAAACACACACAAAGAGAGGAAAAGTGTGGGCCAGTTTATTCAGCAGATAACTACTGGGGGCCCCTGAAGTACCCCATACTGAGCTAGGAAAAGAATTCTAATCACTATATCCTGTTCTCAAGGAGGGGTTTGCATCATTTTCTTTTCCCAAAACCCCACTTCTAGTTTATAGATTCTTACAAGAAAGGTACTTGGTAAGCATGACTGACTGACTCATTCCACATTGAGCCTCCTGACTGCCAATTATGACCAGGGAGGATTACGTCACCCATTGATTCTTGCGCACGTTTAAACGAAGATTCTTACCATGTCCTAAGACATCAACCAAGGAAGATTTTGAGAACTGAGAGTTCAGAACACAAAATCATGAGCAGGCCTGCATTGGAGGGCTATTTCTGAGGAAGCAACTGAGGCAGGAGACCATGATATTTCTCAACTTGAACCAAAGTGCAGGGTCAAGTCACTAAGCTGCCATAGGGTCAGTTAGCTGCAATGGGAGCTTCAGACTAGTCCTATCGGAGATTTCAATTTAGAGGATAAAAGGATTGATCTGGAGAGGGTGGTTAGCTGTAGCTCAGAGGGAAGGCTGTCGAGGCCCTGATGGTCCTGATTCAATGCTGTCTGACTGTTCTGTCACACTTACTGACAAGTGTGCTCTTTCCTTTCAGCAGCCAACCAGCAATGACTCACAGCACTACCTAATTCTCATTGCTTAGAAATCAGAGGAGACAGTGCCTTCTCCTGCCACCCAGTTAGGTCTTGGATGGCAACTCTGAAGACTAATCCATAGATAGGATGCCATTTTAAAAGTGGTCTGGTCTGTACACCCTATGTGTCCTTATCAAAACATCAGGAAAATCTCCCTTCTCAGCAACAGGAGGAAAAAAATTCTTGAGAACTAACTGTGTGCGTGATATAGCCCTGGACTTGAAGTCTGCCTTCAAAAGAACAGCTCTGTACCGAACCTGCATTCTTGCTTATCATAAAGTAACATTAAAGCAAGGTCTATGGCCACCGATGGTGTTTATTAGGTCCCTTCCGGAGGAAGTTTGACTTTAGGTGTCCTTCCGCTAAATTATCTACTAGTGTATAAACCATGTTTGGCTACAAAACATGGTATTTCTCAGTCCTGTCAAGGAATGTTTTCAGTTAGTGCTTCCAGATCACATTCTAGGGAATATATTTCAAGGGGGCTTAAGCTCTGGAGGCCACGAAAACCTTCTAGCAAATAGGGCTCTCAATTCTAACAGGGCATCAAATAGAGCGGACCCTCCACACTGAGGTGAAGATTGCCAAATCTAATCTCTGTGTCGGTTCTGGTTTGCTGTAAAAATCAGGGAGCCTTAGGGATCCACGTAAGTAGCAAAGATGGTAAGGATCTTAAAAATGAATCTTATGAGACATAATTACAGACACATAAAACATTTAAAAGAATACTCAGAAATACACACACGCACACTTGACACCCACCTGTATTTGGCATGACTAAGCGTCCTCCTAAGTGGCCAAAGACCCCAGTGGTCCTCAGTTCTGTTCTTGTGGGGAGTGATGACAGATTCTGGATGTAGGGTGTTTTATTTCTGGGATGTATTGTACTAAAGCTGCGGTTGTTTCCATGGGGAAAAGTCCCAGAATGATTCTTGCCATGGTACTCGGCTCTCTCAGACACGCCCAGGGACACCATGAATGAGCTCTGAACTTTGACTTTGATGTCGGACAAAGGGTTAAAGAGTGAGGCCTCTGTCATGAGCTCCTTGTCCAGAGGGTCCTGGAGGCAGATGGGCCCACTATATGTTCGGCTGACCGTGAGGTCTGGTTGCATGGAAGAGTTCAGGAGCAGGGAGTTACCTGGTAAAAGAAAATCATTCTGTCACTCAGAAACTCAGAGGCGTCACAGTGACCCCCTTACCTCTGCCTCTGCCAACTGTGTAGCATCCGTGCCCTTGCCAGCTGCCCTTCAGGGCTGCCCCGAGAATCTATGGCAGCTCTCACAGGCTGGACAGGAGGGACTGGGGCCTTGGGATCAGGAGCTCTGGCTTGCACAGTGGATCTCTGAATGCCGCTGACCCGAATCGCTCCTCTTCCAGAGCTCCTCGGAGGCCATCTTTTCAAAACAAGTGTTCCTGCCACCCCGTCAGGCAACTCACTCAGGTATTATTGTTTATGTGATTATCTTAACTGGCAAAGAGAAGCTTAAAGGAAAATAAAAAGGAGGAAAGATGTTTTGCAATCCAGTTTGGAAGCAAAAATAACATCTGTTCCTTTTAAACGGCCAAGGGTGACACAGCACGGTGACTAGGTAGGGCTGTTTACAACCAGAGCGGCACTGGCGCCAGCACATCTCACGTGGAATCCCGGGCCGTTTCTGGAGTTGGGAGAGGAAGTGATGTGTCCTCAGAGCAAAAGGGTCAGGAGACCCCATGGATCACGCCATGTCTGAGTAGTCAGTCTGCTCTAATAGCGCATATGTCACTCTGACAGGGAAAAGAGGCCCCACACGGGCAGAGCAGCTTAGAAAGGCTTCCTTTCTGTCTTGAAACAAATGAAAAAAAAAAAAATCTTTACAAAAACATGAGAAATTGGACTTTCATCTGTTCGGGCTCAACCGATTTTTTTTTCTAGGCCAAATATTAAAAAGAAATGCTGTGCTATTTTCTTGTGATGAAGTAATCTCATTTATTAGTAAATAACGAAATAACCCCCGGTCCCAAACCTCCCACCCATATCAGTCCGTCAATGTGACTTCTCAAATTGAAACCCAAACCATATTAAACAGTTTTCCTTTGGGGCCTGACAAAACGTTTAAAGTATGATATTTTTGAAAATGTAGCAATTCTAGGCCATATTGTATTAGTCGCTATTGTTCTTCTAACTCATAATTTGTAGCAACGCCAGCAGGAAATCTATAACCCTGGCTTTTCCCACCTCTTGTGCCGATGCTCTAAGAATCCAAAATCATAGAGGAGGAGGTTCAAAATGAGATGAAATGGCTTTGTAGATCTAAAGGCTCCTTGATGATGCTTTTTTTTTTTTTTCCATGCTTGAGGCTCTGGTGCCAAGACGCAGGCACAATACAGGAGCTGTGCTTTTTAATGGAACGGCACTGAATTCTATAGGTCCCAGCCTTGTTCTTGTTTATGGCCTTCCCTGGCAAGAAGCAGGACTTGAGAACCATGTCACATCTGAAAAGAATTCGGAACAGGCCCTTCCACCAAGACCTGAAAAATCATATTGCTGAGTCTCATGGCTATTTTATCTCAAGCCCTCACCTCCTGCAGCTCTCACCACCTTTCTGGCCACTTTTAAAAGACCCTTCTCACTTATGTGAAGCGAAGCAGCAAAAAGATTTCCTAGAGTTACACCTAAGTCTAACTTAAGGAGAAAATGCCTAATTATACAAATATTTATCTATGATAAGAGTCCATCTACAATTTAAAGAAAGTTGGCTCATTACCCCACAGTTCCCTTTGGAAATCCTTTTAAATCTTCCTGGTTCACTCTAAGTACGGCATTCTGTTGAAAAGTCTCATCACCATTCACCTTCTGGCTTTATTTGCTCAGAAGGGATGTCTCTCAAGACAACAGAGGTGAAAATAGTATGAGAATCAATGTTAGGTGTATCTTCACAATGACTATATGGTAGAGTAGAATTTTATTTTATTTATTTTTTTTTTTGAGTAGAATTTTAATAAAAGAGTTTTGCTTTAATCACTAGCTTTGGGATATTCTTAGTTAAAAACAAAAACAAAATGGTGAAGTAAGTTTGGAAAGGCTATATATTCTTTTAGACATTCACAATACAATGTAAGCTCTAAGGAGACCCACACTATGGAGATATGTTTCAGCTTATGCAAGTCAGCATTCTCAAAATGTTTAGGCGAGGGAACCACCCCCTCATCTGCTGCCTGCTGTTCTACGGAACACACTGGCATCCTGTGCCAAAGTAAGAGGAAACCATTAGCTTGTAGAGACTCCTATTCATCACATTTATTGAGCACCCTCTATATGCCAAGGGCTTATAATCCTTGTTATTCCAGGTTACTTAATCCTCAGGAGGACCCTCTGAGGTGGATACGAGTATCCCCATTTTATAGCTCTAAAAATTGAAACAGAGAAGATAATCAATGAACTACGTCATATAGTAATTTGGGATTAATCTATTTGAGTTCAAAGCCTCTGTCTCTGAAACAACTGTATTTCTTTTGTTTTAAAATGGTATGGTCTGAGATACTGAGATCTTATTACTTGATGGAAGTATTTCCAGTTTCTTATGCAGTATAAAATCAGTTCTTTTTTCGATTTATTTCTAATTAAATCATATCTATTAAGCTAGGTACATATTTGTATAATCATATCATATCTACTAACAGGATGTGTCCCTTTCTGAGGCCAAGCAGGCTCAGACCTGAACCTCTGGGGCCCAGAAATGAGTAGCAGGCAGGAAAGCATTTTGTCTCTACTGGCCATCTCCCAGTTTCTACCATGTTCGGGTTCAACTTCAGAACCGGTCACTACTCAATCACTGCCAAGCAGTGAAACTTGTTCTTTTCCAGGGCCATGGGCAGTAGAGATGCACAACAAATAGAAATAAAGGTGGTTAATATTGACAGGAAGGGTCAGGGTGGAAAATTTTCACCCTCTAAAAGGAGATAATTCCTTTTTTTTTTTCCTCTAAACCCAAATCCATGTATGGCTCATCTCCATCTTGCAATCAGAAGCAGATTTGGTTCATATAAAGAGAATTATACGACTCCATTTTGAAAATGAGTCTTGCTATAGTTCAACATGATAGATTCCCTTCTTCCTACAACAAAAGATTGGCTCGACTGGGCAACAGGTAAGAGTCATTTAGGCTAGGAACTTCATTTTTTTCCCTCTGCTGGCTAGGGGAGATTCTCTAAAGTCTTTTCCACTTCTACAAAATAGAACACAAATAACTCTATCTAATAAAGAGTATAATTCATATGAATGGGATATTGTGGTGAAGTAGTTGGTCCTCCTCGGGGCCAGCTTGTTAAAATAGAAAGTTGGATAATCTGAGACAAAATAACTTGCTAAGTTTATTCCATATCAAAGATGGAAGAATGCTGCTCATGGTAAACTGACATCCATTTACCCTCCTAGTAGCCAAGGACTGAGGCCGACTACCCCACCGAGCCTAGTTTCCTAACATGTAAAGAGAATTAGGTAGCGGCTGTCAGTGCCAAGAGCTACCTTCACACAGGGCCGGAGAGCACTGGGCGTCCTGTGTGAGCGTAGTCTCTATGGTCCTGAGGACGAGGTGTTGAGGGGACCTACGCCGCTGACCTTGACGGACCGTTTTGAAGTTGAAGGTCTGGAAGCCACCTGTCAATGCAGAAGAGTCAATGACGTCCACGCCATAGTCACTCTGGCTCCGTCTATAAAGGGTGACGCCAATGACCAGGACTGCAACGGCCACCACAGCAGCGCCCAAGCCCGAGTACAGAGCAATGTCGCTGGCATTCTCAATGCCTGAAAGACACAAGAAAAATCCTAAATGGCCAACATGGGCACAGAGATGAAGAGCCACCCTGGGATACCAAATGAATGCTATTGGATTTTTGGAGCTACTGCTCAGAGAAAATGACAAATGCAGCTAGCTATAAGTTATACTCTCACACATAATCATGTTTCTCAAATACCTGTATAAATAAGATGGACTCTAGTCAAATATCTTGACTGCATTAAGGTAGCTTACCACATCATAAAATCTTAAAGAGAATCAATTTTGCGAAGAATATAATATTTTTCAAGGAAAAACAGACAACTCCTTAATTTACTTGGTTTAGAAGTCATATTTACCCACAAAGTATTTTTTTGGCATCTTATTTTTATTTGAGGGGGGGACATGAGATCCACATACAATGACAAAATATGAGCGGACTGCTCTGCTTCTATATGACATGGGGAACATGCATTCACAGAGAGTGGGTTGGGGTGAGAAGGTCATACATGGTCTAGGAGTCAAGAGAGAGAAGACCAGAGCTCACAAATAGGGATTTTTAGCTTTGGCACAAATCATTCAGTTTAAGAGAACATCGACAACATTAGCTTAGGGTATTTACAGTCATTGTGAGAGAATTTCTGTTGTGAGATATGGAGGTGTTGGTCCTAGGTGCTCCGATGTCCATGGTCAATGTTTTCTAGCACCATTTAAATGCTAGACTTAATACATTTTTGTGGAGGAGGACTCGTCTCTAAAAGGGCACATGCTGTTTCTCCCATACCTCTCCTACTCCATCCTATTGAATGCATAGGCAAAGCAAAAATAAGAGCGTTAGTTGTATTGAGAATGTGGGTGTCTCCCCAACCCCCAAGATTGGTTGTAGCTTCTTTCCATTTTGTTGCCCAGTTGCACTCTGGGTGTGGTTCATTCCTGAAGACATTCATAATGGCTACTGCGGTTCAAAATGAGATTTATCCAAGACCACACAACCCTGAAAGAGTCTTCATCTTGGTAAGTATGTGGAAGGAGAAGGTGGCCACTGCTAACTATGTAATTCATCTCCCTATAGATGATGGGGTGCGTACACTTAATAGGTCCCAAAGTAATTACCCTGTCACCCTGTGTTGGGTTTAGAGGCTAAAATAGAGCTATCATATATTCACCTTGTAATTGCATGGTGCTTACTATGCATTCACTGCAGCCTAATATGGTACTTATGTTATCAACTGAGTACTACTAACCACACAGGTAAAACGAATTTATTTTTGACAAAGTTAGTGGGTTGTAAAATAAGGCACTACCAAATTAAAGAGCAAACGAGGAAATCAAGCAGAACCAGTTCAGCAATAGGGCAGTTAATACATACAAATAATTTGTAAGGGAGTGTAACCATCCAAAAGAACGGTATCTGAAAGGTTAGAGGATTATAAGACACTTGGAATAACCACAACAGCCTACAAAGAGCTGAGACACAGGGCATGACTCAGGTTTTAATTCCAATTCTATGGTGGTCCCGGTGGGAAAGGAAAAGGAATGGAGGCTTCTGGGTGGTGGTCTGCTCTGATCAACCAGAAACACACACGTGGTGATGGGACCTGACCCCAGGGTTCCAGCATCTGTCTGTGTCACATAGAAAAAGGGAAGGGCAGCTATGGTCCCACTTAGGCTCCCACCCTCTCTCTATTCAATTAAGTTCCTTGGAGGACGTAATAGAGTAGAGAGAGGACATGTAACACAACAGAGTACCAGGGTACCAGGAGTAGTGAGACAAGTGTGGATGGAAACCAATTAGCCTTCCCCCTGCTTCCTGCCAGTTCTTCAGGCACTACTGACGGATGACACTATCATCAAAGGTGTATCTGGGGAGAACACACCTACCTGCTCATTCTATCTCAGCACAGACAGAGAAACAGCCTGGCCATGTACTGAATGCAGCTGCTGAGTTGGCAAAGTAGAGACAATGACCCAGTTAGCTTCCAAGGTGCTAAAACAGGCAGGAGCAGAAGCCAGGATGATGACCAGGACAAACTACTTCTGCTGGAAATGGACATCTGTAGACATGAATATCTCTAGATGAAACCAAGTAGTGGGAACAGGTTGTGTCTGCTCCTCTGTCTGCCTGTCTGATTCTTTGTTTCCACCCCCTTACTAGCCAGACAACCAGAATTCTCTTTTTCAGACACAAACCCTGTTTTTAGGAAAGGACCCTACATATGCCTTCAGAGTGAGATTTAAATGTTTGATATCGTTCAATGCATTTCCCAGGAATATTTGCAGAATCTATTTGAGTTAAGTTGACTATGAAATACTGTATTACAGAATTAAAAAAAATAAGTATGGGGACTTTGGGGATGGGGGTCGGGGGTGAAGGGAGAGAGACTCGTATGGAGGGCACTGTGTCCTTACAAAGCTCACCCTGGCACTTGGTGCGACAGTCTAATCCAAAAGCCAGAAGTCAATCGACTCCTAAAGGAAGATAAGCAATGTGGTATTTACTTTACAAGAACAATCTATCTTGGGAATGAAAAACTTCAGAATCTAATAATTTCATTTATTCAACAAACATTTGTTGAGGGACAACCATGCCATGGAAATGAGGATGCAGGGGTGAATTAACATATTCTTGTTTCTTGTCCAACAGCAGTGATGGGATTCTGACAGAGGCAGACACAAGTATTTGAAGCCACATCTATGTGTACTGAGAGATTTAATCAGACATCCTTATCCACAGCTCAAACCCTTCCAAAGTCGGGCCACAGTGCTTCTTTCTTCTTCTTCTTCTTCTTCTTCTTCTTCTTCTTCTTCTTCTTCTTCTTCTTCTTCTTCTTCTTCTTCCTTCTTCTTCTTCTTCTTCTTCTTCTTCGCTCTTTTCTTCTATCTATCTATCTATCTATCTATCTATCTATCTATCTATCTACTTTTGCTTCGCCTTATTCTTTTGTCTTTTTCTTCTCTGCTTCTTTATTTTCTAATCTGTCCTTTAGGAAAGGAGAGTGGTTTCTCCTCTAGGGATTGCTGCATGCTTACAAACACAGTTGATTCACTTTTCTTGTGTGTTCAGGACTGGCTCCAGAAGAATCTGAGATTTAGTGCCATATCATCCACTATGACTTCATGGGAAGAGGGTGGAAGCAGAGTGTATGTGTGCACACATGCACATAGGCACATACTCAACTCTTATGCAAACACTGAAAGCCACCACTGCTCCTTCCCAAGAGGAGTCTTTCCAACAACATGATTGACTGGGGCTACCATTACCCAGGCACTGATGGCTTTCTCCATGCTCTGCTTTGCTGCATTGCCCTACACCCCAAACTCAACTGTAATTTACCTGTCGGGTGGATGGATGACTGCTAGCAAATGGCTCTGTGTGGCAGGTTATTGTAAAATATTCCCCCCTTCCCCTGGGCATCCAGGTACTACTCATCTATCAGGTGCCAGCTCCAGGCCCATCTCCTCCTAGAAAGTAACCCTGGCCTGGAGGATCCAGCCAACCCTGCCAACCATGTTCTTCTAAATTCCAATATCACTTAGGGTTCCTAGAACTCATTTTGGATTATGCTTTTTATTGTTTAATTATCTGAATGCCAATGCATTCTCTCTAACTGCTTTAAACGCTTCAAAAACAGTAATATCTCTACAATGTCCCACAGAAATTTGCAGATCTTTGCAACTATTTATTGATTGTTTACCTGGTCTCCAAATGCAGCAACAGTCTGAGGTTGATTACAAAACTCCTACCGCAGGGACTCTCTTTACATTAACACATTATATGTTTATACCTGTCTGCTTACTCACATACACGTGTTGAAGGTCTGTTTGCTCTCAATGATTTTTGAACAAAAGCACCGATATCTTGTGACTGATGATGCCGTTCTGCTTTCTGTGGGCACAGGATACTTTCTCTGACCTTGTTTCATGAATGAACCCTTACATATCAATATGTTATTGATATCTTTCCTATGTTTTCACCCCCATTTTCCTTGATCCAAGAGTCACAAAAGCTTTAGGCAAAAGCATGGAAGGACCCAACATGTGGTACAAAAAAACAAAAACAAAAACAAACCTGTTGAGTAGGGGAAGAGAAGGAAAAATAAGATGAAAATAGAGAAGGAGGCAAACCATAAGAGATGCTGAACTCTAGGAAGCAGAGCATTGCTGGAGGGGAGGGGGGGAGGGGATGGGGTAATTGGGTGATGAGCATTAAGGAGGGCACATGATGTGATGAGTACTGGGTATTATATATGCAACTGAGGAATCACTAAATTCTACCTCTGAAACTAATAAAAAATTGTTGCATAAAATCTTACACCTTAGAGAAAACAAAACTGAGAATGGACTGAGAAATCTCTTGTATTCTAAATTAGTCAGGAACTACTGTGGAATAGGTTCGTTGCTGGAAGGAGCGTGGAATATCTGCAGAGAAAGGCTGCAAAGATTAATAGAGAGCTGGAAATTGGGACCCTGGAGAGGACAAGTTGATGGGTTCATTTGGCCTGGAGAAGCAAGAGCTGTAAGGTGACTGGAGGTGATCTTTAATGCACAGACTATTGTCACAAGAGGAGAAGAGGCTCACAGTAGGCGCTCAGTGACCCTTCCTTTATGATGACGCGAGTAACCAACTTTTTGCCATCTCTAACAAGGACTGCAGAGGAGGACATGGCCTTTTATTGTAGCAATTGGGACTCTGGTTAGATATTCAAATGACCTTTTCAACAATGAGGGTTGTTAAAAAAAAAAAAAAGTGTGAGGGAGACTATAGTTCTGAAGGAGACTGAAATTTCCTTTCAGAAAATCTCTGAAAAAAAAAAAAAAAAGAAAGCAGCACGACTTAACAACAGTCTGCAGTCATTTCATTTATTTATTTTTGGTCAAAGCTGGTGAGAAGGAGCAAGTGGCCTTTGAAAGTCCCTGTGAACTTCCTAGGGTGAGGAACAGGCATCAGCAAGTTCCATGTCTTTAGGAATTGCCATCACATCTAGTCATTTAGAGGAACCAATCTAGTGCCCAAAGGACTAAATACAAG